GACCAGTAAATCGAGAGCTTCGCCTTACAGCTCAGCTCCTTCTTCACCACGACGGACTGGTACATCGACCGCATTACTGCAGAAGCTGCACCGATCCGCCTGTCAATCTCCCGTTCCATCCTTCCCTCACTCGTGAACAAGACCCCAAGATACTTGAACTCCTCCACTTGAGGCAGGAACTCTCCACCAACCTGAAGGGAACAAGCCACCCTTTTCCGACTGAGAACCATGGCCTCGGATTTGGAAGCGCTGATTCTCATCCCAGCCGCTTCACCATTGTTTAAATTTATGCTTTAAGATATTTTCAGATACAGTGACACCTGGATCTGAAAATATCTTAAAACATAAATTTAAACAATGGTAAAACAGATAGTCTTTTAGTCCTGGGCCCACAAGGAGAGAAGTAGACTATTCAGTTAAGATGGAATCCAGTAACCTGAGTAGAAATTGTTGATGGTTCTTCAGCTTTTTTTCCAAGATGGCGCCTCAACTGAGCAATCCACAGACAAAAACCTGTGGTTAAAGGATACATTAGTTTATAGTCTTGGCTAGCACCATTGTGGCCAACATCCTGCTCATGTGTTTTTGGTCTTTCTGCGGGTTTATCTATGCAAAGCAGTGAAAAGAAACTGTGTTAGGCACTAGTCAAACCTGTATATGATCTGTCTCTTGTCTAAAGGTACCCTAAGGAGTTTTGTTGTAAATAGAGTTATATTTACTATCAGTGGTACTCACGGAAAGAAATTGGGGGATATTTATTAATATATTTAAGATGTATTTAAAACTAATTAAATGTAACCCTCTTTTAGATAATTTCTCTGAGCCTGAAGGCCATAGTCCTCCTGCCTGCTGTCATTAATGACAGCATTTTTCATGAAGAGAGGGAGCCCATAGCAAGAGGCAGATCCATCAGCTTTCTACTGACTTTCATTAGCGAGAGAGCAAGAAAGAGAGGGAGAGGAAGAGATAGGAAACTACAGAAGTAAGTACTCAAGTATGAGGAGTGCAGTGGCTGGAACAAAACAGATGTAGTATGGAGACATTTTGTTTTGAGTTACAGTCAGTTTTCTAATTGTGTAAGAAAACTGTGGCAATTGTTTGAAGCTTCCGTGGATTATGTGATTAGTTAAGAACATCATTCTAAGATGTTTCATGAATCTGATCCGGGGCCAGTAGTTGAGTGTCATGATTGCACTGTGTAAGTTGCTGAAAACAATTATAAGATGAAGCTACATTATTTTTTGTTTTTGTCATGCAGGTGGGAAGGAGAACAAAATGCCAATCGTCATCTCCAAGATTTTCAAGGGCCTGGCTGCTGACCAGACTGAGGCACTTTATGTTGGTGACGCCATACTGTCTGTCAATGGTTATGACTTACGGGAGGCCACACACGATGAGGCTGTGCAAGCACTGAAGAAAACTGGCAAAGAAGTCATCCTTGAAGGTATATTTTTCATCCCGAAAAAGAAACTAATCCAGAATAGATGCTGGCTTTTTCTTTGTCTGCTGCATCCTTTCTGTTTTGTCTCTTCTTTGCTGTAAAGACATTCTGCAGAGTGCTCACAAGTTAACTATGACAGACTTACAAAATATGTTACAGGGATCTCTGTTGCATGATACAGAAGAACTTAATAAATATTTCTTAACAGTATAGTCTTCAGAGTAGGAAAGAGCAAACTTCTCATTTCTCATGAAAATAATTGAGCACTTCCATCTACCCTGCCTCCACTCCCCAGCTCCAAATAGATACATAGATGGAAACAATGGGAGCTTTGTATGCCTTGATATGCTTTGGTACATTTCTCCAGCACTTTGGTTGATTTTTTTTTCCTTAAGTGACTATATGTCATGTGCTGAAAGAGACAGTGTGTTAAATCAGAACTTTGGTCAGACTTATGTGGAAGCATCTAAATAGTTAATTAAACTGAAAGAGCAAGAGGAAAGCAAAGACTCTGATTTCAAGAATATTGTTCTGGCTCACACCTCTGCTCTGTATGTTAAAGAGCAGTCGCCCTGAACTTCAACCACCTCTGACACTGATAGAAAGCACTTTAAAAGTGTCAGAGCACTGGAGAACCTGTGGGGTAAGAAGGTTTACAGTGGAGTCAGCAGGTGTTTGCTGGTGGGGTTTTATTTCCTGTCGCTCTAACCGATTCACGTGAGCTGTCAGAGCTGATGTAATGCGTCTCTTTGTCCTGTTCTGCGTCATTCTTACAGTCTAATCATTTGCTGGGTGTGTTTGTGCCTGCACTTGAGTGTTTGTGTGTACACATTTGCTTAAAAGCATCACTCTGCATCAGGTAGTCGTGAGGGCTGGGGAAAGGGATTAAAAGCAATTTTTCCTCTTGCCAACTGATTGCATCACAGGAGTTCTGCATCTCCCACAAAGCTGACTTCAAGTCGCTGCTGAGCTGAATTGTAAATCTGTTTGCTAGAAAAGCACAGACTGGCTAAGAGGCCATGGTTGAGTGATACTGGATGTTACTATTAAAAAAGATTATATTTTCATGAGAAACCACAGCATTTGACACATTTTTATGTTTTGCTTGTAGTATTTTTAATCAATCCATATATTCCCTCTGTGTCAAAGTGTGCGTTTGGAGAGAATAAACCAAGGTTAACAGTTATGTTTAGTGGTGTAAGTCAAACAGATGCCTCAGACTGTAGGCGCTATAGATGTACACTTTCAGAATAAACGCTATGATCAAAGAAATCTCCTCAGACACTAGAGTAAACTAGAGTAACTTTCACAGTGGGCTGGCGTCAGTAACTTCAGTCAGCAGAGTAGATGCAGTTAGAGCTACAGCCAGGGGAAATCACTGCAAATCCTCCTGCCTTGCTTGTCCACAGTCAGGCAGAAAAGTGTTGCTATCAGACAGCTCAACCAGCGCTGCTCCGTGATCCGTCATGTCAGTAATCATTTCATGGGTTTCCCTCCCCCCTCGAGGACCTGATGGAGAGTGAAAATACGAAGAGGCTTCGAGGCTCAATGAGGGGAGAGGGTTGAGTGCTTGTGTTTGTGTGTGCACGTCTGTCTGACAGAGGGATGTATATCTGGAATGTAATGATAGTTTTGGTTAACTTTTGAGGGCTGCATATTTTAAGATTGCAATTTAATTTCAAGACTGTTTCTACGTTATAAAAATACTTATGAATATATATGACTTGAAGTTCAGGTACAATGTTTATTTTGGTTTTGGCATTTTATCAAGATACTGAGAAACAGAGTCAGAAGCAAACTCCATCTTGGCACCGCTACAGTGTTAAAGGTCAGGGTAACAGTCTTTCTTACCATGCACACAGCAACAGAGAAGCCACCACTGCTGTGCTCAAGGCAGTTTTCATCACTCTCTAAAATTTGTAACACAGATAGTAGCTTGTATGAAACAGATTTCTACTCAGATTATTTCCATTTTGATCGTGGCAGTGGCACATGCAACGCATTTATGCTGAGCCTTAGAATCAAGCTGAAGAATGTTTTCAAGGATACTTTAAAATAGTCTGTCTAAAAGATTAAAACATTAGAAAACAAGATTTATTAGTTTTGGCCTAATAAAGGTTATGGTGTTTGTGTGTGTGAGACACAGCTGGAAATAGTTGTTCTATTGTTCGTTGCATAGATTTTTAATAAATATGATTTCAGTGCCCAACACTGTTGCTTAGCAGCAACAGCAAAAGAATGGGGCAACACTGGGCAGCTCCCAGGTGTGAGTGTGAGTATGTGTTAAAAACAAAACAAAAACTCTCCATAAATAAGAATTTGTGCTTAGTCAATCTGTCTGTTGGAAAGGAAAACAACGAGAGGTTTACGATATGTTCCCAGTAGGATGCCTCCTATTCCCCTTCCTCTGTTGCACCGTACATGAGAACGGTGATGGAATAATCAATGTGTGTCTCTGAATGAGGAACGGTATGAGAGGGTCAGATAACTACAACAGACCAGATGAAACCATAAAACCACAGCTACTTTCATTTCCCCCAGCGACATTTACAACCTATGTATATTTGTGTAGGAGCTTGTGAGCACATACGCTGTGTCCACACCCGCAAGTAATAGAGTGCAATGTACTGCATCCGCAAGTGTGTGTGTGTGTGTGTCTGTGTATATATGTGAGAAGAAGAAGGAAGAGGATGGAGAAGAGAGGTACATAGGTTAGCTTCACATTTTTCCCAGTCACTCACACTTTATTATCACACTTGAATGTATTTCTGTAATCGAGTCATTGAGTTTCTGCCACAGTAAATGGGAAGATTTATATATCACTTCTGCAGAACATCATCATGAAGAGAACCTTATGAAACAGTTAGATGTGGCTTTAAGGAGCACGAAATGTGAAACAAACAAGAAATTAGGGCAGAATTAAAAGAGACTGCAAATGTAGCGCTGGTCTGTGTCCTGCTGTTTTCTACCCCTATTTTAATTTATATTCTCAATGAAAATGCGTCCATTGTTGTCACCTCTTGCTAACAAAAACAGGGTACACTCCACTACTGTATGAAGAAACTATGGAGCCTGGACACTGTATGTGTACAGGCCTATGTTTGTGTGTGTATGTCTTTATTAGGCTACGGTGTGTGGACACATTTTTGTTTCATGTCATCTTTGTGAGGACATTTTGCCGTTTGAGAGGATATTTTAGTTAGTTATCATGACTTCAAAGGGCTTTTTGAGACTTGGTTAAGGTTAGAATTAGGTTTAGGTTAGGGTTAAGGTACGAGTTGGGGGTTAGGCATTTATTTTCTGAATGCACTATGTCCGTGAGTGTCCTCTTATCTGCAAGGGCATGACTGTGTGTACAGTATGTGTGCTAAAAAGGGTCAAGGCTAGAGGTAGTTCAGAGGCAGAGCTGTTCCCTGGGCAGCCAAGGTGTCATTGAAAAGCCACATACTACACACATGAAAATATACACTCAATGTAAAGCAGAGAGGAAGGATAAATTGGTTTGACTTCACCTTCTAGTTTAGTGATTAAAGCCAAAGCATGTTTGTGGTAAACTTGTTTTGATCACGTCTTAGGGCAAAAGTGTTACAGCTATTCCTAATGGTCATACACAAAAACCTGCCATCATAGAAAGAGGTAAGTGGCACAGGGGTAAGTGCTTGACAATGAATTAGCTCTTTATGGAATCTATAAATCCTAAAGAAAACTAATTTCATCAGTTATTAATGTGCGGATCTTTGCTTTATCTGATCATTACCTGAAAGCCAGCACCTTTACTTTCAGTTCACTTTTAGTCATCCTGGCTTCAGCGTCACATCCCAGGGACCAAGGGACACTCATTAAAGGCAGTCTCTGTTGAGTCATGTGCCACCACACTGTTTAGATCTCGTCTTTCATGCAGGCTATATTTTGAAACCAAATTTCATTACATCTTCTAAGATGAAGTCCCAGCATACACAGTGGTTGCGCCTTTAACTTTATTTAATAAATGTGACTATGTTGTCAGACTGTATCATTTCCTCTAGACCTAAATTCATTAATAGTTACTTTAAAACTGTCAGTGAAACATTCAATATGCACAAGCAGGAGTGTTTCAGAGTGCCTGAGGTGAATTTATATTTGAGAGAGGTTCATTTGTGTTTTTGGTGCGTGTTAGCTGAAGGATACTTTGTCAGCATTCTCAACAAACGCTAACCCCAAACCTAATCTTTTAGGCACAAAGCTCATGCATAAATCTTTTTTCTGACTACCTTTGTGTTGCGTATATGCAAGTGATGTGAAGATAATGATCGTAACATGGGACTATTAACACAAGTATGAATTGAGCAGCATTTCAGAAGGCTGAGGAGTGCAGACTGGCAGCTTTAGTAGCAATTTGTTTTGAAAGCTTAAAATTGTTTCATATCTACAAATCAAGGTTTCTGAGAACATGTATGACTATAGCCCCTCAAAAGAAGATACAAAACATAGCCTTTTTATGCTAGACCAGCAGAGCCATATACTCCAGCTCTGTCTTCTTGCACTGATTCAAGTGGTTAAGTGAGTGATTGGTGGAATATAAAGACTTTGGGATGCACAACTTAAAGCTCCTCACTGGGCACAGCCTGCTCCTGGCTAAGACTTTGGATTTTAATGCTTAGTTGTAAAGTTCATGTTACACAAGTTCAGAATTTGTTGCTGAAGCAGCATACGCTTGAGTCATGCTGTCTTTTCACACATAACGGAATATGTAAATAAACTGAGCTCATTCGTGCACTTGCACATACATCTGCACACATCTGTCCTGCTGTTCCAGAAGATGACCGCTGCCAGACAGGTGGTCAGGGAGCTAAGTGAGATTTTCTTAATTCACAGTTTCCAATTGCAAATTCTCAGGGGGGTGCCCAGTCACCGGTGTTCCTGGGCATCAACTAATTCATTCATCTGGCGGGTGGCAACAGCAACAGCATGGATTCATGGTTTGGAGTATTCTTTTTCATTGACTTTTTTGAGGGTCCATCTTG